ACCTGAGGCACTCAGTTAAGTGTTGTGTTGAAATTAAATGCAGATGTATAAGTTCCACTGCGGTGCTTCCCTGTTCCTTGGTAGTGTTTGAGGGGAATATAAAAACTTGATCTATGATGAGGAAGAACCATGTCTTATTTGACTGCCCTTTAATGGTGGAATCAAACACACTAAACATTCATTAAAAATATAAATGAGCTGCAATGAGCTTTCCTGTGGTGGTCTGGGAACTTCTTACACAAAGACCATTTGCAGCTTTGTCTGTGTGACAGAGATAGGAAGGCCCCAAGATGGAAGAGGAGAGAAGTAGGGTTCCCATTTGCCCACTTATGGTGGGAGACCTCCAGGCAATTGGCTGACTGATGGGTGGAAACTGGGCCAAAAGGGGGAGGGGGGAGAAAATCCTGAGGAGACAAATTGAAAAGAAAAAACAAGGCCTCCATTACCTACCAGAAGTTCTGACCACAGAGTTCCTGGTGATTCCTAGAGTTACCCAGAAGTGACAAGGGTAGCTCTAGCAATCGCCAGAAACTGCTTGGCAGCCCTACAGAGAAGATTGGTAGTAGACCACGGCAGACCTAGCCTGGTTGCTCTACTCTTTCCTGAGGAGGGTTGCCAGGTCTCTTTCACCCATCAGCGGGAGGATGGGGGAGATGTTCCGGGAGTGGGAAGTGATGTTGCCCCCCATTTTCCCCGAAATAGTGATGTTCCACACAATGTGCCTGCATCACCCAGAAGTGACATCGGCACATTGGGGGCAATGCTCTGGATTTTGAGCAAAACTCTATGGTAAAATCAGCATCAAACCATAGAGTTTTGCCCAAATCCAGAGTGTCACCCCCCCATGTCGCTGACGTCACTTCCATGTTGTGTGCAGCGTCGTTGATTCCCAGCTGGCCGGTGGGCGGGAGCCCATAAAATCAGGGGATCCCCCACCCCCACTGGGCAAACGGCAACCCTATTTCTGAGCCTTTATTCTGACTCTCCTTTGCCCATACAGGAGACACGGGATTTAAAAAAGGCTGACGACATCTTACTGGTTCTCCAGGTGGTCCAAATGGTCCTTCACGGCCTTGGTCACCCTGTGGTCCCAAATCACCCTGAAAAACAAAGGCGGGGGGGGGAATCAATCCAAGGCAAGACTTTGTAGAGCAGAAAAAATATGATTTTCAGGAATGAATCAGATGCTTTCTTAATATGCCTGCTGATTTCTCCTATAATCAACAATCGGTGGAGCCGAGTCATAATACCCACCCAGCGGGAGCTCTCTGAAGTCAGCTGAGTTTAGAGGCTGTGGACTAAAAGCTTAGAAAGAGAGGTTCTTACTTTTTTTCTCCCATACCCTGCTCAGTTTCAGTAAAAAAAGGGCATTTGCCTGTAGATTGGAGCATGGGCTCAACCCCACCCTTATCCAAGAGAGCTATCTTCAACTGGCCTGAACAAGAGGACCGAGAAATATGTTCAACAGGCTGAATGGGGCTATAGGCCAAAAGAGGCATGATACAGGTAAACAGGCCTGTAGACAGGATTTTTTAGTGCCTCTTTCTATCCTGGTTTCCTGCTAAGAAGCCTAAAACTGGTTTGGAAGTTATCTTTGTGTGATTTCCAGCAACAGCAGCAGTTATCCTCCACAGTCAAGATCATTAAACTCTAGCTATATTCACTCCAAGGTTAGGAGCTTTGAATTTGAGCAATTCCTCTCATTCCAAATTCTCTTTCTGCGTGGCTTTCTGCAGAGTACCAAAAATATTGCCATGCAAATAACCCATGTGACCCTCGTGCAACAGAAGGCCAAGAGACCACAGCTATCCCTTGCACAATGTGGCGGGACTTCACCACAGAACATACTTCGAGAACGGATCGGCTTCGGGAATTCGCAAACGATTAATGTTGTTGCTGTGGCGGTTCCTGCTTTAAAATTTGTGGGACCCAGGGTGGGCTCATGGATCCCCACCAGAGGAGACAGAGCTGCTCGTTGGCCCAATTTCTAAGTGGGACAAAAGCACTGCGAATATGAGCAGGACGGCATCGTCTTTTGGTGTGGTTCATAAAAGAGGGGAGGGGTCCTCTTGAAAGCACCAGCAGCACTCTTATGGCATCTACTGTTTCCCCTCAAGCCAGAACTTGACGTGACAGAACATTTGGCAGCGACGGACGAGACCAGGAAATGCCGCAGCTTCCACCCCGCGCACTCCGAGCCAGTTGGGTCGGCAGCCAGTTCTCTGAAAACTGGGCAAGCTGCACTCACACACACAGGCTCTTGGCCTTGAGAAGGGCAGGAAATGCGCGCCTCAGAAATCCCTCTTCTGTCCATTCAGACCAGCTAAACTGAGGCAGCGACAAAGTCATACTAAATCCTTTCCTGAAGAATCATTAAAAATTTTAACTGAGGATTTAGGTCTGCTGTCTCCTGCTCCATCACCAGGGCACACCGTGCATAACAGTCAACCTCATGTACCAGACAAGATGAACCCCCCCGTTTCTGTCTTCCTGTTGTCAAAAGCAGGCCAAGTGGACAAAGTTCATTGCCTGCTGACAAGAGACGCTCATAAGGAAACGCGAACTGTTAACCAACAACACCACAGAATAGCAAAGAACTGCTGTGAAGGGAGAGAATACGATTGCCAGCTCCGGGAAGGGAAATTCCTGGAGATATGGAGGCGGAGCCTTGGGAGGGTGGGGTTTGGGAAGGGGAGGAGCCTCAGCAGGGTATAATGTCACAGAGTCCACCCTCCAAAGCAGCCATTTTGTCCAAGGGAAGTGCTCCATGTTGTCTGGAGATCCTGGGTGACCTCTAGACCTCAGCACTGCTGTTTGCTTGAGGACACTCTAGCTCTGACTTTGATAGCCACACAGGTGGTTTTTGGACCTTAACTGGAAGATGTTCTAACACAGCAACTGTGCATTTGGCACCAGACACATGACTTTCACCTTTTGAGGCCTCACGAACATCTTTGTCATGTGTCTTTAGATTTTGCTGTTTAACCTTCCTCTTCCTGGTCCATTATTCACTTATTGGTTATCTTATTGCAATATGTAGGTTATCTTATTGCAATATATATTTAAGTTATGTGTACCTCAATATTGTTTGACCTCTAAAGAAGGCCCCAATAGGGCAGAAACGCGTCAGGTCATGTGTATTGGCCCTTGTGTTTAGGCTATAGTTTTTTACAAGGCTTTCGTTGGGCCCTTATGTACATTTTTAACTGTCTTTCTAATAAATACTTGTATTTTTGTATAGGTTTTTATTAGGTTTTTAATATTGGCCCTTCATTAGACTTTCTTCTCACCCTTTTGGTTCTGGATTCCAGTTTTTGGGTCAGGTTTGTTTTCCTCTCCCTGTGGTCTTACTGACCTCTAGAGCCCACCTGGAGTTTGGCAACCCTAGGAGGGAAGGGAGAGAGGCCTGTGCTGGGGAGGCAACTTTGCTGCTGACACAACACAAAGAAGCAGCTCAGGTCCTTCAAGGGGTTAAAATAACAAGCAGAAAAGGGGTCACAAGAGATGTGTGGGTGACAGAGCTGCCTCACTCCTCACTAATGAAGACAGAGACCCTACCTGAAGGAGACCCTCACTCCCTCAGGCTCTTCTCAGGAATCCCGGCTGCCTGTGATGACTATCCGGTAGCCTAAGCGGCCAGCCTGCCAGCTGAGATCCTCCCTGCAAGCCACGCTCTCTGTGCCCCTACCTGCAGAGGTGAGATGGATGGCAACCAGAGGCAGGACTTTTTTCGTGGTGGCACCTCTGGAACGCCCTCCCTGACGAGGCTCGCCCAGCATATATCCTTCTTTCTTCTAGGCAATTGGGCCCAAACATTTATTTTTTTCATCCAGGCTTTTAACTTAGGGGTCTGATCTTTTAAAAGTGCTTTTAACAGTCTGCTTTGAAAACCTGAGGGCTGTTTTATGAGGATCCTTTTAGGCCCCTTGGACGTTGTTTTATGCTATTTTTATGGTTTTGCCCGTTCGTGGTTTTTTTAATTTTAATGATGGTTGTGTTTGTTTTTATGGTTTTATCATGTTTTATTTTGTGAGCCACAAGCTCCTGGAGAGGCGGCGTGTACATTTTCTAAAGATATAAAATATATAAACCCAGCTAACCAGCCAGCCCCTGGACAGGGATGTTTCCTCTCCCTCCCTCCCTCCCTCCCTGGGCTCCCCCTCCTCCTCTCCATTGCCTCAAATGCTGTTTTGTCATCATCCAGAGTTAGGGTTGTCCGCTCTGGGTTGGGAAATATCTGGAAATTCTGCTAGTGCAGCCTGGGGAGGGCAGGGTTTTGGGAAGGGAGGGACCTCAGCAGGGTACAATGAAGAAGAAGAAGAGATTGGATTTATACCCCGCCCTTCACGACCCGAAGGAGTCTCAGAGCAGCTTACAATCTCCTTTCCCTTCCCCTCCCCACAACAGACACCCTGTGAGGTAGGTGGGGCTGAGAGAGCTCTCCTGAGAACTGTCCTTGAGAGAACAGCTCTGAAAGAACTTATGACTGACCCAAGGTCACACCAGCAGCTGCATGTGGAGGAGTGGGAAAATCAACCCCGGTTCTCCCATATTGGAGTCCGTGCTCCTAACCACTACACCAAACCTCCAAAGCAACCATTTTCTTCAGCGGAACTGATTTCCATTGTCTGGAGATCAGTTGTAATAGTGGGAGATCCCCAGGCCCCACTTGGAAGGTATGCCTAATATTGGATCCCCAAGTACCACATTTCCCAGGGCCTCAGGCACCCACTGGATGCTGCCAAAGTGAGATGCAAAAAGACACTGGTGAAGAGGAGAAGAGAGGGAAAATGGGTGGGGGAGACACTTTTTTCCTGCCAGTCACTGGGTTGGCCAGCGACTGCCAGCACCAATACTACTACCAAGCAGGAAGGATGGGAAGGGAATGACTCTTCTGAGTCATTCAGAGCTTGGAAAACCTGACTCGTTTGCCTTTTTTCTTTTTTTGGACAAATAGCTCGTGTTTTTTTTCTCAGCCCGGTTCTGCTTCAAGCCAGTGGAGGCGAGCCCATTGTGAGTGATGACACAGAATATTCACGAACAATGCAACTGCTCAAGGAATTACATTGTCAGCCACAGGACGTTCACAGTCTGGCTTCTGACTGTGAGGGAAGGAAAGTTACTAATTTGGATAGAAGAAAAATCTTAAGAGGTTCTAAGGGATGATATGAACAGCACAAGCACAGGCGCTAAGTGTCAGGGAGACCAGTGAACTGGGCGCACAGAGGCAGGGCAGCTGAAGGAAAGGAACAAAGAAAAGAGTGGATACACAATCCTGAGGGAAGGATGGGGAGGATCTGGAAACATGAGGAAAGCTGAAAACATGGAGCTGAGGGAAGGGGCTGTGGTAAAATACACCCACACCAGACTTATGAAGAGAAGCTGTTGAATTAGGAATGCCTGGTAGGCCATGGGGGATGGGGATGGACAAGGGTGAGAATAGGACAGAGCATGTGATGGATTGAAAAGGAGGGAGCTGAGGAAACAAAGAAGGATGGAGTTCAAGAAAAGAGAGCTGGTGAGAAAGTAGGATCAGGAGTAGCAGAATGAAGGGGGGGAACGGGCTACGGATTCAAGAATGCAAAGGACCACCAAGTTCTCCCAGAGAAAGGGCTTTTCTGGAGGGTGTGCCAGGACGGGAAAAGGTTATGTGGTGAAACATGGCCCTTACACGCAACGCCGGCCCCCCTCCCTAAGAAAGCAGACAGGCCCAAAGAGCAGTGGGGAACCGAACTTCAAAAATGAGTATAAACTCTCCTGGAGGAAGGGAAAGAGGCAATCAGGCCAAACTTCCTGTGGGGTGCAAGAAAATAAAAAGGTGGGTTGGCATTTTTTTTTAAAAAAATCTGTTTTGCTGAGCTCTTTTTGCTACTGTTACCCACCCCAGTGCTGTGGGACAGGACAGGCTACGAATCTATATCCATGACATTTCAGGGATATAGTCCTGCTTTGCCTGAACAGAATTATTTCCGCACACAATGCAGAGATGGCATTTAGTGCTTAACATATCCATGCAATGATGTCACGGACATCTGGATCGCACATATTCCCTACCACCCCCAGACTTTTAAATCAAAAGAGGCCACGCCCTCTCCGGAGGAGCCCAAATGCCGCCTTTTTCAATAGGGGTAATGAAACTGGTTCAAGTCCACATCCATTTTGTGTGTGTGTGTGTGTGTGTGTGTGAAAAACAGCACTTCAAGTATTTAATGAGAATGAAAATCTCCATCCCTGTCAACCTACTTGGACACGAGGTCTAAAACTTAAAAACACCATGTTAGAATTGCGCACATCTGCAAGAAGACATGAGGCTGCATGAAGTACAGATCCCTTTCATGCTGCAGCCTCAGGAGAGTCTAGGGCTGCCAAGTGGGGGCGGGGAAACCCCCGCTTTGGAGGCCCGATTTCCGCCGTGGTGGAATCGGGCCCCGGGGGGAACCCCGCCCTGGCGT